CTCTATCTTCATTCATATTTAGCTTATTTAATATTTGTTAGGTATTTAGTATCTTAGTAAATTTCTTATTTTACTCTTGGAGTCTTCATATTCCACAAATGCAATTGGTGCTGGTTTCATTAACTGCTATTTTAAAATCTTCAATATTCTATTTAATACATATATACGCTTCTTTCAGTAGGTCAATTCTAATTGTTCTTCAAAACCGTAATCTACTGAGGCAACTGATCTGCTGGTTGTTTCCTTTTTGTTCGGACCTGTGGAACCATACTTCATTTAATGCGCTGTATAGCCTTGGGGCATCTCCGGGGCTGCCAGTGGGGGAGGGGAAACACCTGACTTCTGCCTCTAACATCAGTTGGCAGAAACCACTCAAGCAAAAGGGTGAGTGTCACAAGGCATGCAATTAATGTAGGAGCATGCCCAATTTTTGCCATCCTCTCTTTTATATGAATACATTTATGATTTTAGTTTTGTCTTGACAGTAAAAAGACCATTTTAACTCATGCTTTCAGTTCCAGATAGCTCAAGGACCAGTGTGGTACTATTTTTGAGATTTCTTGACTCAGAATTTAAAACCTGTCAACAACAGAATATGCTGCTGCATGAGGTAGTGAGGTTCCTACTTATCAGAGATTTTTCTAGCAGAGTTGAACTACTACCTGTGAGGCACAGGGTAGGAAAGATAGGTAAACCTGATAACCTCCTACTTTGTGACTCAGTCCTTTAAAAATCACTGATTAACATTAAAAGCCTTACCTACCTCCTTTGATTAAGACCCGTGAAGAACTTGGCATTCTAAACCCTGCAGGAATAATTTAGTAACTGTTTGTTCTGGGTCTGGAAATACGCACCAGTCAAAATTACCTGACTAGGACAAAACTTTCCTATTTTCTCTTTTATGAGGACACAATCATTAATACTTTTCATGAATGTTAGCATAATTCTCTTAGACCCTTCTTTTGAGAGAACCTATGAACAGTTAGTTAGTTATATGCATGGTTTATTGGATAACTCACTAAGTTTTTTTTGCCTTTTTTGTCTACAGTAAAATACTGACTTTCTACCCTTTTCATGTGCTTTTACTTTTCCCATTTGGTAGTCTCCTTTCTTGTTTTGCTTACACACCCCACATCTTTACCTGAAAGGAATTCAGCTTTTGAAGGTTACTGATTGTCTAAGAAACGTGTTCTTAGCTTGATCTTAGATTTGGCCTGGATTTGGTATTGTCTTGGTGTTTTGAGGCACATCTATTACTCATGCCTACTCCCGTGGGAAGTTCTGGGTATGTGAGCCTCCTGATATTTTTGGATTATCATCATTAAGTTTGCTGTAATATGTCAAAAAGTATTTCTTTATATAGATAAAAGAAAACTGCTATAAAGTTTGTTAAGACAGAGTTTTCTGAATTTGGAAAAAGCTTGTAGTTTTATATAAAAAATTATTTTATTTTTCCTTCTTTCCCCAAGATATGCTTCAGGTGCAACAGACAGGGAAAAGAATTGACTGCCAGTTTCATGTCATTGGAAAGAGGAAATCAGGCAACAGTGACATGCCCTCTGGGTGGGACGTGGCACACATTCCGCACACCTGTGCACGCCCTTTATTAATGCAGCAATCAAAACACAGGATGGATCACTTGTTTTTCTCCTGTAACATCGACTTAAACAGTAGTCATCTGTTTCCATATTTAAATTATTTTTAAAAAGTGAACATTTAAAGTTCACATAATCACCAGTTTGACATTTATGCTCGGGTAAATTTTTTTCTATCTTGTTTTCCCATTTGTAACAAAGGATATCCAGAACTAGATATACAACAAACCAAACATAAATACAAGCATCTTCTTTGACCCTAAATCACTGTTGGCAGCTCTATGGAGTCTAAGAGATAGATAACTTGAAGGCTTTGGTTACTGGTTAAATAAAAATAATTTATGCCAAAATATTGTTAGAACTATTTGTTTTCTATTTTTATAGTCTCTAAAAGCTTCAATTTTGATTGTGGTATTCTAAATATTGGCCTCCTTAAAATGATATCTCTATAGAACCTCAAAGATCATTACTAGCCTCATATAATATTTTCTTATATAACAGTCCTCTGGAAAACATAATTAGCAACTATTTTATTCTATTTCCTCCATCACTGGTTTATTTAACCCAAACCTGATTAATTACTGTACAAACCCTAAGAAAGTCGTTGGGAAAATGAACTCTTTGTTATCTACTGAAGAATTTTTAAATGAATGGATGAGTATAAATATGACTAATATCTTGGAGATATTAGGTGCTTGAAATATGTGTGGGAATGCACAATGAAATTTAGTAGGTATTTAACTATACAATAAATTAATTTAAAAAGTAAAAACAGAAACAGACCAATAATCTTAAGTTCCTGCCAAAAGGACTTGTGAAGATAGGTACAGGATGGTAGCTGAACTGTGCTGAGTATAAAATAAGTATCTGAAAGATAAGTTAAACCCTCCATTTTCTTACCAAATGAAATACTCAGAGGAAGTCCCCCATTAACAGAACCGTGGAGGCTGCCATTCCAGAGGTTCAGCACTGAGACAACACTATTTCCATTTGTGAACAGAAGGTGTCTGATTTGCCTTTGTGAAACTGTTTCTCCAGTGGCTGAGACTGGTGTTTCTACAGTTAACTTGACTTGTGTTGGCTACACTAAGTTGACAGTGAGCCTGCACAAAACATGCAAATATTCCTCGTGCCTCACATTTTCTTCAGGTGCTGAAGAAGCGAGCAGATCTTAGATCACCGGTAAATAACAATCCAAGCAGTGAATTTAAAACGGGTTCTCAGTCCATTAAATAATTTACAGAGCCATAGTTCAGTCTTTCCACCAGGTTGTTTTCTTATATAACACTTGCTTTTTAAAGGGAAGCTTAAATAACACGGACAATTAAAAGTGAAGCAACCAATAAAAAAAGAAAAAGGAAAGAGATTCCAGAATCCACTGTGTGAGATGGCAGGCCTCTTAGCCTTAGTGTTGATCAAAGGAGTGCTCCTAAGCATCTGAGGCAAATCATTCTTGATGTAGGGACAGGACACAATAACACTTGGGATGGGTGAGCACATTCATATATTTTTAGAGTGATTTCTATACATTAGGTAGCACATTTAGTTCCTAGAGATTTTAGTCAAGTATTAGTATTTCTTTTTACCAAGTATGATATACAAAAAGATGAGAAAAGTAGATGTGCCCTAAAAATATGAAAATATAATATATTAAACAAAACCACTATAAATTACATAGATTTTCAGTATAAAATTGTTTTTTTCACTTAGAATAAATACCATCCAAGTTTGCAGATCATCTAAGTGAATTAAATATGCACATGTATCTGAATCATTTTCAGAATTTCTAGATAAAAATTGCTAGAGATATAACCAGATGACTCAGAAACCAGAAACTGATTTTGACAATGACTACATATGACTCAAAGAACATGGCTTGGGATTCAGTGTTAAGCTTTTAAAACCGCCCAAATGAGTCTGCATACACAGGTCCATATGTCTATGAATTCTGTGAAGCTGCAATATCTTTAAAAATCAGCTCAAAGTCACAAGGTCTCCTCCATTTCATATTCTAGCAGGAGAACCTTTCTTATTTTGTAAAGTAGCTATAGGATGGACAGGAAGAGTGGAGAAATTCTGGAAGGAGTGTTCTCCATTGTAAGCCAGTCTTCCTTTAGGTCGGCTATTATTGTATCAAGAGCCTTTTGATACTTTAAAGAAGGTGAAGTTTTGAAAATCTATATAATCTTCCCAGCCTAAAGAAGCTAAAAGCAAAATGGAAACATTCTTTAGTCACACATTTCTGCTCCTAATTCATAAAAAATTCACGCATTTTAAACTTTTCATTCCAAATCAATGTCTAAATTAAATAGATGCTGTCTTCTGTAATTTTCACATGGAAGGTGCGCATGGGTTTGGGTGGCATGAAAACTGAATACACTGAGAAGCTCACACAATGCCACAAAATGAGCTTCAGTCTCTGTTGTTTGGGGTGTACAGATCCATGGTAAGAATTTGTTATCTCCGTAACAAGTGGAAATGTTTATATGCTAGGAGTTGGAGATAAAATTTTTCCGCAACCCAGACACATAAAATCCTAGTCAAGGGAGCCTAATCAGGAATCATGGCATCTCTTAATTGCTCACTACTAATTTCTTTTTGTGACCTCCCATGATTCCGACAGTTCATTCCTGACCAAGAGATGTCTAATCAAAGTCCATGTCTTGTAGAATGCCTTCCACATCAGTTATCTATGAACAAAAATAAGCCTGCCAAAGCCATTCCTAAAGCCAAACCTTCTGCCCTCAGCTATAGAGCTAGATGTATTTCCTGCAAAGTTTGGACGGCAAAAGCATCCAACCTCATTTACCCATTTTTGCTCCTAATATTGCTTGTCTCTTGCAATGGGGGCCAATATGAGACATTACAAACTTTCCATAAAACTATGAATATCTGAGCTAGAAGGGATCTTGTGATCCATCAGGTATAATACCACCCCTATATTTTGCAGGTGAAAAAGATTAAACCCCAGAATAAGAGAACTGTCCAAGGTGACTGATTTATCCAGAGAGTGACAGAATGAGGACAAAATATCTGCATCTGCTCTCTTCACTACCAATGTGGTCCATGTAACCTCCCGTGTCATGACCCCATCACTTGATTTGGCCAAGGCCCTTATAACTGCTTCAAGGTCAATGTCTCCCTGCTCCTAAGAGAAAATGAAATAACACCACTCATTCTTATCATAGTTAAACCTAAACCGTAGAAGTGGTCTAAATGATTAATTTGGGGTGGAGGGAGATCCAGAACTTGCTTAAAATGCTATGATTTTTTAAAATCATCACATTTATTTGAGTAAGTAATGCAGCATAAACAATGTTAGGTAAACCCAGAGATATAAGTAACTATCTTTAAAGTGACCATGAAAAAACACAAGGATGAAAACATGGGTTTGGTTTTGTGAGAGAGTGAGTGAGACCCTTTAAATGGTGCCCAGGGCTCATCTAGTGTGGCCCATCTGACAGATAAGAAAACTGAAAACCAGACTTGCCCAAAGCCAGGCAGCTGGTTATTAGCACAGTCAGGTAAGGTGTTGGCCTTTGAATGACTAGTTTTGTCTTTGTCTATAACATCATTCTACCTTGCGTATAACTGCTTTCTTGTGAGACTAAATAATTCAATAATTTTGGCATGAAATTTGATGGTGCAGTTTCCTATGCTATTGTCATAATATTTATATCCTTCCCTGAATGCTCCTCTGGGTAGCCGGTATTCTACAGCATACAGGAATTCATCAAATGCCATGAGTATTGTGGATATATTCAACCTTTTATAACCTTCCCCACCCATACCTCCGTTGAGCTCGCCAAAATGCTCTCTGATTGAACAGGTAAACACAATTTTATTTGGCTATTAAAGTGCTATTCCTGGGCAAAGTTTTTCTCAGTTTCACAACAGCAGCTTCATTGGAAACAAATAAAAATCAAGTGTGAAAACAAGCCTGGGAAGTAACAAAATAAGGAGCCTAATAACTACTTTGGAACATTACAAGTGAGTTATAAGATATAAGACCTGGTACTGGTTGGTGACTGATACCAAAGTCTCTGAGGTAAATGTTCTAGGGGAAAATAAGGACCAAGAGGACTAAACCAGAAAGAGCAATTAGTATTAATATAACAACAATTACTCCATTATAAAGGAACAGTGAAAGTAAAAAAACTGAGAAGAAAGTGCAACAAACCCATATACGTGCATTTGCTATTGTAGCAGACCTATAATTTTTTAAAAGAAAAGTAATGCAGTGTGCATTGGACAGGGCTCTTGAACTCAGAATTTATCTTACAGTAGTGTACTCTTTGCCAAAAGGGCATCACCTATTAAGGTAGTTGGCAGAGAAGAGTCTCTAAAATTCGTATCACTAGGACAGACTCCTTCTGTCCAAAATTAATCAGTTCTGCACCCTGATGTTTCCTACATCCTTTTCTACTGGGGAAGGTCCAGTCACGTGAACTGCACACAGGTGTTTCCCCTTTCAAAATGGCATCACTCCTACCTAAGGGATGAGAGTCTCCTGGTAAGGCTTAGCGGCAAGTGCGTACTAAATCTGGACTACGAGGAGCAGCCCCTGATTTTCTTGATATGCATAGCTTTTCGGAGTTGATATTAGACATGGCTTTCATAAATAATGCAGGTGTTTCTGTCCTGTGCTACTGCTGGCTCTGCAGTTTCCAGGTGAGCTGGCGGCAGGACTCTGTCTAGAGACACCTCCACAGGTGTGGGCTCTTCAGATGTTAGCTCCGTGGACGTTACATCTGTGGAAGGCTCGGCAGTCTCTGGAGAATGTTCGGCGGATGGTTCTGTCTCCTCTTCATCTTTGACTTCAAACTGTACCCCTTCTTGGTCGTCCACGTGATCTTTTCTGGACTGTGGATGAATGGACACCTTGATGGCAATCTGCTGCGGCTGTTCATGCAGTGACGAGGCGTCCGAGTCGGCGGTGGGGGAGTCGCTTCGCTTCAGAGAGTTTGGGATCGTGTACACCTCGTCCCTGTCTGCGGCCTCCTGGCCCTCTGGGGTGTGCCGCACAAAGTTCTGCCCCTGCTCCTCCAGCCCGACCACCTCCATGATCTCCTCCATGATGGTCCTGCAGTTCATGATGAGAGGAGGCAGAGGCACGCTCCTGGCAAGCTCTTCAATATAGCGAGCAAACTCCATGGTTTTGAACTGGGTGACTTTGGCAAGCTCTAGAGTTTTGGCTGAGGTGATGATGGGGATCCGCTTGGCAATCTCAAATGCCTTTTGCAGCTTCTCTGCACCTTCTGTCCTAAAGAACTCGTTGATGGCTTTCTCAGTCTTCTTCAGGTGGCTGCTCATCATACACAGGCGGGTGATGTTGAGGACCATGACAATGGTGAAGGCCACGAGGCAGACAACCATGTAGTAGACACCCATGTCCCCAGAGGTGAAGATGACGCGCAGGGTCACCGTGTTGTTCACAGTGCCATAGACATTAGAAGCAACACATGTGTATTTACCTCGGTCTGAAAAAGACACCTTGGTGATGTTCAGGAGGCCACTCTCGAGCATCTGCCATTTTCCTGTTGGAAGGGAAAGAGGAAGATTAAAAAAAGGGCATACAGCACCCACTGATGTGACTACAGACTCACATATTACTAAAAACATCCACCACTGACAGTCACAACAGTGACCCTTTACTGTGTGCCAGACACCGACATGTATGGACTGAGTCTTCACAACTCTGTGGGCAGGCAGGTGCTGATACTAGCCCCTTGTACAGGATGAGAAAACCGGGGCACAGTTAGATGAAACCTTCCCAAGGTCAGCAGTTTGGAAGCAGCGGAGCCAGGAGATGAGCTCAAAGTCAGGGGGCTCTACTCTTAACCACCAAGCCATACTGTGTAATTTCACATCTTAGGGAAAATAAGAAAAATGAACCATCTGGAAAATACTGGACTTGTACTGGAGAATTCCTTAATGCTAGCATTTGATTTTCTAACCTGCCTGTGAGCATGACTCTACTGAATATATGTTCCCTGGGCGTTTAATGTTTCTCAGAGTATAGCAGTTCAGGACCAATCTAAGATCTGGAGTAAATCAATTAAATTACAATTTTTTTACCTGGGTTCCTCATATTTGATAGTGATGTTATCCTTGTATGACCTCAGTTAACTAAAACATAATTATGTCATTAACTTTGAGAATCTAAAATGAGTTGTCTATACTACTTAAAAATTACAAGCTAACAATGTACAGATTCAGAGGCTGCATATGGATTAGTATCAATTTGTTTTAGCCTTGCAAATAAATTATAGAACCACCAAATTGAAAATAAGCCTCACACAAGAGAGAGCATGCATGTTGATAACAGCAATTCTTCCTTCCCCCTCCGGCCTGGAAAGGACCTAGTGTTGCCCTCGGAATGGGGTCCTGAGTCAGGCAGAACTCTTTAGTTGGGGTTCTTGGTCTGCCTGTACACCCGCAGGTCAGAGGAGCCCTGGACAACATACGAGCAACACTGGCTTGTGGCTCTTGGGTCTGAGCGTTTCTGTAATCCTACCACCCACTTCCCTACACTGTTCTATAGAGAATGGAGGGTCCAGGTCAGCCCTCTTGGGAGTTCTAAGGAACAGAGCAGGCAGATATTTCTCCATAAAAGTGTTCCAGGTCCCTAAGCCAACTAGAGGGACCTCTTCAGAGAGATGGGACAATTAAAGTGTATTTTCAGATGTCTATTATTGCATTATATTTTGTTTCTTCCCTCTTCGCAGTGACTTTTAATTCTAATTATAAGTCTGATATTTCCCCAAAGCAACAAGCAAAGTGTTCCTTTTTTAAATTTGTGAGCACATATGTCATCAAAGTCTCAAGGGACTGAGAAATGAGGCAACAGAGGGCCTTCTTTATGCCAGCATTGCTCTGCTACGGCATGGTGACTACAGTCCAACGAATGTCCTTCCCTCCTGGGGGCCGACAGTCCTCCAACTTGCTAGCGGCGGCAAGTCTGGCAGGATGCCTTTGCTGGATGCTGCCACATTCCTTTGCTTTTTGAAAGAACATCTGTGAAGAGTGGTTCCTGGCGTCCCTGAGTAACCCTGTTCTAACAATTCACCCAGTGTATTTTCCCCAGGAGCAAAAACACTGGGTTGAAAAATCTAGTGAAGTTTCAGTCTCTGTGAATGTGCATGAATACACAAACCTAGCACCGGTCTGTGAAATTTCTCTCATTCAGATGGGGCAAGAGCAAGCCTTCCACCCCTTTCATTCCCTGAACCTGAATTTTGATACTTTTGCTGCAGATTTATCCAAATTTATAATCATATGAGGCAAGGGAAATTATTAATTCATTTTTTTAACATTTGCATGTTTCCTAAAAGTAGACTACAGCAGGCATAGGGGGAAAAAACTCTAGTTGATTTAAAGCTTATTACAGACACAGAAGGTATTGCATCCCAGAGAATCATAGACCACATCACAGTAGTTTCTTATGTTTACCTTCCTTCATTTATAAGAAAACATATGAGGAAATAGGGTGGAATAGGTGAGGAGGTAAGGTTATTTGTATGGGGAGTGATTAGGATCAATTCATTCATCTACTAACCTCCCCATTGCCATTCCTTTTATGGAGGGATTGACTGTAAATTCAAAGAAAGTAACGTGAACCTGGGTGCAGAAGAGCAAAAGCAGAAAAGAACACTAAAGGAAGAGGCCAGGCGTCTGTCTGATGGGAATATAAACAGCTTTCTCCTCAAATAAATATCACAATTTTAGTGGTAACTGTATTCTGTTGTAGGCACAGGGAATGCAGCAGTACGTATTAGTTACAACATGCCAACGCTTCCCTCTATTTAAAAATGTCTAAATTTATAGTTGTTTTCAGGCATACTATCATTGTGTACTGATGTGTATTTATCTACTCTGGGCCTGAGTGATTAAATGCAGATTAGAACTTAGACATTTCAGAAAGTTTCTTACCACGCTGTCAGAAGAGACAGTCTGGAATAAGACACGACCTTATGACGTGACACTTGTGGATTTTCTGGGGCATAACAGTGATTTCCAACAGAAAACCTCTCAGGGACACATGTGCTTCTTACTCAGCTTAGGACAGCAGATCCTTAGACTAACATCTTTCACGTACTTATTCAGTCATTAATTTAGCGTGCTCTTGAATTCTGAAGTCCAGCTATGTATCTGTGGCTATATTTGCTTACCTATACTCTATGAGAAAAATGAATCCATGTTATGATCCTAAAACCCTTGGGTTATTACCTATAGTCTGAGCTGCAACACCCCGGTTAAGAGATTGAGACCATATTGCTCTCTGCCAGCACCTTCCTGTTTCCAATCCAAGGCGAGGCCACCAAGACATCTCTTTAGTTTTTGGTCCTTTCCTAGATTCCTCTCGAAACAACCATCATATTTATTTTATGGGTTAAGGTGATATTAATGATGTTTAGGTTTCAACCTGGATTAAACATTCTATTATCAGATCACAAAGCAAGTCTTTGGAAGCCGACACACACACACATCCTAAGGACTATAATGTCACAAGAGCTAAAATTTCGACCTCAAAGGTGACGTACCACTGTATGGCTTCCCTTGGAAAGGCTGATACATCATATCCATTCCCTCCTAGGAACTAAGACTCTGAGTTAGTTCCTAGGAAGGAAGCTGCAGCTTGACCTTCGACTAGTGACCAAGATTTCTGCATGTTCTACTGTTATATGAATTCCATACAACTATGAAGGTGGCACAGATTCCACTTTGGGGGTCCTCCGACCCCAGCTTCGAGCCCAGGCTCATGCGGCCTCTCCACAGGGCACCCACCCAGCTGAGATCATCTCAAGAACATTTTCTGTGCTGCCCATAACTATTCACCTCTGTCTATAAATATTGTGGCCCCAGACTTATTCTGGAACAGTTCCAACTTCAGCTGTCTTCTGAAGACAGCTAGTTAAACAAATAAAAACATCCCCAGTGTTTTCCACACCAATCAGGCATACCCTGTGCTGTTCCCATGTATTTTAAATGGTAATTGAGTGGGAATGTCAAAGTTATGTGTTGAATTTTCATTATGTTGCATCACTTCAGAACCAATAAGAACCTAAAATGTCAGCATCTGATGCTAAGTCAGTTCTCCATGCAAAGATTTTGGAGGAAATAAAAGAGGTAGCTATTCCATCACTACTTTCTGCATATAATAACAAGAGATTGCTAAAATATTTCCCAAACGCTCTTGATGGAAGTTCACTTCCATCCTGTGCCTTGCTCAGACTATAGTTCCCCATTTGGGAACTCCCTTCCTCCATCCCCTCTCTTCCCACTCTGGTCCTGGAAGGTGACACACACCTGGAAGACTCAGGCTAAGACACTGTCACATGCAGCAGGAGAAGGGCTGCTGCATCTCTACTGGACACCAGTGTTTTCCCAGGAATCTGCCACAGTCTTCCCTAAGAAACTCCAGGCACGAGAATCACATGTGAAGACCACCCACACGTGAACAGTCATGTTGTGGTGACACTGCCTCCTTTGCAAAGAGAAAAGCTAACGGATGTTACTTCCTAGCTGTACTGCAATGTGTGCTGCACAACAAAGCTGACATTTTTAGAAGGGCAGTAATCCTTTTCTATCTTGTTCAAATCTTCAGTCAACAATTATTGAATAAATCATCCATATACCAGGTTCCACGCTCAACTGTGCAAATATAAAGATGATGCCCGACTTTGAAAACCACCCAGGCCAAAAGGGAGACACAGACTCCAACAAATAACTGAGGGATCACTGGTGCAGCACAGTAGGATGACAGAGGGAACAGTGAGGACAAGCTTCCTAGACAGACGTGAGGTGCTTGCCAGGGCCAGGGCCAGGGCCAGGGCCAGAACGCGGCGGCGGAGTGCAGGGTGCAGGCGGGCAGGAAAACGAAGGTAAGCAGAAAGGACTTGTAAGATCAGAGAGGGATGGTAGGTGGAACAGGGTACCGCTGAGCCAGAGAGGGGACCCAGTGTCCAACACTCCTGTAGCTGACAAACCATTTTTAGAATCAAGGAGGGTTAGGGTAGAGACAAGGCTTGAGAAGGCACAAGGCCAGAATATTCCAGAGTGTAAAATATTTATGCTGTCGGAGAAAAGGAGTCTCTCATTTTACGAGACTTTCCCTGATTTCCTGCCTTCAGGGGCCTCAGGACCCTCCCACATGCTCTCCCCTCCTTCCTCACCCCACACATTCTTAGTGCAGTTGAGACACCACCTTGGCATCTTCCCTCGTTTGCTGTGGAAGCCTTTTCTGGTCCCTGATGAAGTCAGTGGAGAGAACCTCAAAGTCCAGAAGCAGATACCGGGAAGTGGAGGAAATGTAAAAAATAAGGAAGATGTCATTTCAAATCACTGAGGAAAAAATATTGGGGTAATCAACTACTCGTTTGAAAGAACAGTTAAATTCCTTTTTTATGTGATATGTAAAAATAAATTTGAAGTATTCTGAAGATCTGAATATAAAATTAAAAGTATAAAATTAACAGAATACATTAAGACATTTTTATAACCTTGGAATAGGAAGGCTATTTTAAGCATTTCAGGA